CAGACGATTGTTAGCTGCTATGTGGGTGCTGGGATTTGAACCCGGGTCCTCTGCAAGGGCAGCCAGTGCTCTTAACCACTGAGCCATCTCTCCAGCCCCAAGGTGGGATTTAAAAAAAAAATTACATTTATTGTGGTGTTTGCCCAGGTGCCACGGTGCGCATGCGGAGGTCAGAGCACAAACTTTGGAAGTTGATTCTCTTGTACCGTGTGAGTCCCCAGGATTGAACTCAGGTCATCAGACTTGGTGGCAAGCACCTTTACCCACTGAACCATCTCACTGACCCTGGAGCTAGGATTTGAGCCAAACAGTGTGACTACAGGGTCCCAGCCAAACAGGGGTGGCTGGCTAGGATCTGGGCCAAAGTCGTCACTGCTCCAAGCACAAGTTCCTTTAAGGACCCAAACGGCTGCCACAAGCAGGGTGACCTGTCATGCTCCTGGGCTCGGGCCCTGTTTCTGTTCCTTTTTTTCCCTGGGTCCTTCCTTTCCTCTGTTTTCGCTTGTGTGGACCTACATCATTCTCTCTTCAAATCAAATGCTGTGATGGGAGACTTCACTGTATGGAGATTTGTTTATTTATCGAGTAGCCCAGGCTGGCCACATAAAAAGTTACAAAGTTGTGTTGGTGTTACCCAAGTTTGTTTAAAATTTTCCTCCACTCCCCCTTTCCCCGTTCTTTCTCTCTCTGCTGAGGATGTAACCCCGAGACCTGGTGCATGTTAGGCCAGCACTCCACCCTGAGCTATATCCCTGCCCCTCAAATGACTTATCTTCTAATTGTGGGGCTGGCTGGGGGTTTCTGCTGAGGAAAGGATGAGGCTATGGAGGGGCGTGACTGTGGAGGAGTATGGGTGGGGGGCGTGGCATGGTACCAACCCTGGTCTCTTGGGTCACAGATCACAGATCTCTGGGTTCCATATCCTCATCTGAAAACAGAAGTAAAGATATTCATGTTATGTGCCATGCAGTGTGACGACACAGCTTTGAGTGCCACTTCCCTTCCCCCACACTTGTGGCCACATGTCCCCTGTGGGGTCCACTACCCCACACCCTGCCTACAAAGGGGGGGTACCACATCATGGGGGTTTGAGAATTTGGGGTGTGTCCTGACTGGGCAGGTGGGAACTGAGCTCCAGAGTAGACTCAAGGGTGGCCATGTGTCCTGTGGATCTCCTGGGCCTTGGCATTGACCTCGGTCTGCTCTGTCTGAGAGTGAGGTGGGGGGAGGGGGAGTGGAGTCAGTCTGGTGGTTACCCCTAGCTTTCAGCTATCTTGGCTAGGGGCTTTTCTTCCTCATCCTCGGGACCCACAGAATGTTGCTGACTTTGTGTTTTTCCAAGTGGGACCCTTGCTTCATGGTGCTGGGTAGCGATTGAACCCAGGGCTTCCCCTCTGGCAAGCAAGACTTCTACCACTGAGCTACATCCCAGCCACGAGGTCATATTTATAAATAGCACAGAGGAGCGCTGGCTCAGCAGTTAAGAGCACAGGCTGCTCTTGCAGAGGACCTGGGTTAGTTCCCACCCACATGATGCTTAAAAACTGTAACTCTAGTTCCAGGGGAATCCCACACCCTCTTCTGAATTCTGTGTGCGTTGCATGACATGGGTGTACTTACATACATTCAGGCAAAACACTCATACACATAAAATAAAAATAAACAAATAAATTGTAAATAGAACACAGAGGTGTGGTGGTTGCACACCTCTTTACCCCAGCACTGGAGATGTGGAAGCGCGAGGATCGAGAGCCACAGTCACTACCCTCCGCCTCCGGAGAGAGCCACAGGACCAACCCAAACTGAGCAAGGGCCAAGCGCACTTGCCACCCTAGCACATGGAGGCTGAGGATCTCTGGTTCTTGGCCAGCCTGGGCTACAAAATGAGTGCTAGGCCAGCCTGGACTGCTGAGCTAGACCCTGTCTAAAATACACACTCAAAACATGAAGGAAGACTGAGCTTGTGGGATGGGGCTGGACTCGCATTTCCCACGATCCTCTAGTTGGCTCCTGGCTATGGAGGCATGGCCTGTGTCAGGGTCTCCCATGCTGGGTGTCCCATATACCGACAAAGGCAAGGTATTCAGAAGCATGCCTCTGTTCCCTACTGGCTGGGACAGCCCTATGACCTTGACCCCATCATGTCAGTAGGGAGTTGTCATGGAAACTTTTCTGGCTCTGCACTCCAGGGAGTAGGACTGAGGCCTGTGAGACCTTTAGTAACATCACAGTCAGCTGGGATCTCCTGTCTTCCCAGACAGAATGTTCTCTGGGCAAACACAGTGCTGTCTGCTCACAATGGCAGCCTCAGTACCTCTGCAATGGCTATGTGTCCAGTAGGTGCTTAGTTCATACCCCTCCAGTGATGGACCACATCCAAACGCATGACCTGGGATGGAATAGTACTCAACCGTCAAAAATGTCCATCATGAGTGGATCCAGATGGTGGTGTATACGCACTATCTCGGTTTCTCTCTCTGTCTTATTTAAACTTTTCTTAATAAAGAGGTGAACAGGACAGAGGGGTGTGCTGACGCAGGACAGGAGGCCACGAAGCAGGCATAATGTGAGGACAGTGGAAAACCATGGACGTTACTCACCACTGAAAGGACGGTGGTGGAAAAGACGGCCCCTTAGGGTCCACGCTGCCCCCCATGGCTCACACCTCCAGGGCTGACTCCTGCTCCAAAGCTCCACAGAGATGCTCAGAGAAGGGGAATAACTACCTGAGGTCACACAGCACAACAGAGGTCAAGGCAGGGCTGACCACAGGACTCTAACCCCAGGCTCCTGTTCACCGAGCCCTCCTGGGTTTTCTGTGTGTGGACTCCCCCAGTCCCTCCCGGCCTCTGCCACCGGGCTTCGAAGTTGCCAATGGGTTTCTAGAAGGAAATGAGGTTTGGCAGAGAGCCCCTTAGACACCACCAGGGGCCCAGACTGTTGGAGGCAGTGCTGGCCAGGAGCAAGAGGGACTTCCCAGCCCACCCTGTGAGACGCTTCCGGGACTGGAGCGGGGAACCAGCAACAGATACAACAGCATCCCACGTGGCACATGGGACTGTGGACAGTGTGGCGGCCACCAGCCAGTGGCCGGGCTCCTTTCCTGGGTGGGGAGTCACTCAGATGCATGCCTTTGACCTCCTGAGATGCAAGTGGGGTGGTTGTACCTCCCACACAGCTCGAAGATGTTTATGGAGTTGGGGGTGGAGGGAGAGAGACAGAGACAGAGACTAGGAGAAATAAGGAGAGACAGGACAGAGGGAAAGAAGGGCAGAGAAAGGGACAGGACAGAGCATGTGTCCTTTGGTGGCCCCCACAGACCGTTCATGAACCTGGCCTCCTGCCTCCAGCCACCACATGATGCACTACTGTCCAGCCCAAGGCAGGTTTCATTTTTACGCTCCCGAGGTTCTCAGCGTTTCTGAAAGTGAATTAGACCTCACACATCCTGCTGTGTCAGGGTCCTCAGCCTCCCCTTGTCCCTGCAGCCCCTCAGCACTGGCCAGTGATCCTGAGTGCGGTCTCTGTTGCCCTCTAGTGGTCACTGACTGCAGCACAGGGCAGACAGGGAAGGGGCTGGACAGCTGGGGTCCTGCAGAAAACAACCCTGGGGCACAGAGAGGATGTTACACAAGATGGATGCAGGGGCTACTGATCCTCTAGAGCACAGAGGCGAGGGCGCTCAGTTCTTCCTTCATCCCGGGACCTATCCATATCCTCAAAAAGCCCGCATCTCATTCCTCAGACAAAAAACACGAGTGGTCAGTGAAGAGGTTAGGGGGACAGGAGAGCAGGTGCCGTGTCGGTGCCTCCTCTGTGGTGGGGGCATCAGGCCCTGAATGAGCCCCAGTCCTCATGCAGGAAAGACTGACTCATCAGATCTGGAGAGACCCCATTTCCATTAAGGCCTGTTTCGAGGCCTGGGTGGATATGCATGGGGGGGGCGTTTTTCACCCAGCAAGCTTGCCGGCATGAAGAGGACAGAGGACTGTGGGCAGGGACGCTGCGACACGCAGAGCAGAGGCAGGGCCACCCCCTTTGGCATTATCCAGAGAGAAGTCACAGGGACTGGTGGAGCCCCTGTGGGAAGTCGGGGGCGGCTGCCCCAGGTAGAGGGTAAAGCAGAGGGAGGAACACACAGAGATGTGTCTATGTGCCGGTCAGGGATCTGGGGGAATCCAGGTACCTGCAGGAGGACATTGGAAGAGAGCAATGAACTTAAGGCCATTGGAGCCAGCCGCACAGGGGAGCCAGCTCTGGCTGCTGCCCTTCCTCTTCCTCCCTCCACCAGGAACTCTGTCCTCATTATTAGGTAATTGTCCGAGGGAACACTGAATCCCAGAGAGGTTGCATGACTTGCCCAGGGTCACAGAGCAGAGCTGGGTTGTGAGATTTGAACTTGCTTGCAGCTGACCCCAAAGTCCCTGCCTTAGTACATGTTTAAAAATAGATAGCACAATGAGACCCCGAATGCACGTCCAGTGTGACAGGAGCCCCCAGGGAGTGATTTCTGTTTCCTCCCTCTGTCCTCCACCTTCTCCTGTTCCTGGCTGGTCATGTGTGTTGTCACTTAGTATTTCTTTAAGTGAAATGCTAAGTTTTGACAGGTAGACCTTTCACTGAGTAAAATACCCTGGGTCAGACTCTAACAGGAGTATGTGCAGCTCTGGGAGAAGGGGAAGTCCTGGTCCCCTAAAGTGTGGCCACTCACAGGCTTCTCCACCCCAACTCCTGCCAGTACCACCATTTCGTAGGCCCCACCCACCTGGCCTAGGGAACACAGGTGCTTTGAACCCCAAGAGGCTCCATCTTTAAAGGGCGTGTCACCTCCTCCCCATTTCTGAGGGCTGTGAAACCCCAAAGGCAAGACAGGCTCTGCTTAGCCCTCAGGAGGCCCAGGTTGCCCAGCAACCAGCTAGGCTCCTCCCTGGGCCTGCCTGGGATGGCTCCCGCTGCCCTGCAACCAGGCAGCAGCGTCCCCTGAGCCCAGACCACACAGCTGGGTCCAGTCCTGGCTGGCTTCTCTCAGGGCCCGGGAACCCCTGGGGCCCCGTCCTTGTTCCCAAGACCAAGGCAGCCAGCACATCTGTCCACAATGAACGTTGTCCTCTCGAGGTGAGCTGAGCGGCTGCACATCGGGGAGGGAGCTGGAGGGGGAGAGAGATGGAGGTGGGATTCTCAGGTTCTGATGCAGCAAGGAAGGGGAGGGCAGGTGAGTTCCCTGCCACCTTCTCAAGGTCAGGGGGGACAGGGCTCTGGACCCCAGAGGCTTCCACAATCGCCTGTCTGCTTCCTCCTTACCACCTGTAGACCTGGTGCCGCCACTCATGGGTCTGTTTCTGGCTTCCCTTAAGCTCCTCTTGGAAACCCCTTCCTACCTAAGGTCCCAGGCCTTGCCCTGCGGAGCCCTGCCCCACCCCTTTGCCAAGGCCCCCTGGGCTCACCGTGTCCTCCCCTTCCTGGTTAGCTTCAAGTCCCTCTGTGGCTTAGACTCCAGGTTCCCTCGACATACCCAACATGTCCCTTAAAAGTTGGCTTTGTCCAACTTTTTTTTGGGAGGGGGGCTCAGGACCTGCCTGTCTAACTTGTGTCTGGATGATGCTGATCTCAGGGTCCAGCCTGCTGTGTGCTCTCATCCAGGATGCTTTGCCTCTCTGGGCCTCAGTTTACTAGATTTTAAAATGGCAACAGCAACACCTTCCAGGTCAATGTGTGCAGGGCACCTGCAAACGATGAAGTTAGGGTTAAGAAGGGGTGGGGTGCTGTCCCTCAGAGGTTCCAGCTGTGGTGACACATGACTGGAGGGGTGCATGGGGACCTTCAGTCAGTCATAGGGCAAGGGACAGGACAACCTGGGGCTGAGGAAGGAGAGTGTGGAGGGAGGTTGAGGAGGGAGGTGGACACTTCATCAGGCTCCCGTGCTGTCTTAGGAAGACATTCTGTCACCGAGCACCTGCTGTGAGCAGGCGGGGTGGGGGCAGGGATGGGACATGGCTGTGGAGGTGTGCAGGGGACAGAAGAGCACTGAGAATGGAATGTGGGGATTCTGCAAGAAGTCCCTAGAAATGCCTAGGGCTGGTGGGGAGAGAAGAGGGACCAGCGGGATGAGCACAGGTGAGCTGGAGGGCCAGTGCTGCCTTGCAGATGGTGTGGTAGGCACATGTGACATTGCACATCTGTCAGACCTACGTGTGTAGCAGCCAGAGGGAACTGTCACTGTGGTCCTATTGGAGCATCCCGGGTACCAAACAGACCAGGGCACTGGGAAGGATGGGAAGCATGTAACACTGTCGCTGCCTTTTAATTTTTTTTTTGACTTATTTATTTTGGTATTTTTGAGATACGGTCTCCCTGCTGCCCCAGCTGGCCTGGAACTCACTATGTAGACCAAGCTGGCCTTGAACTCACAGACTGAGCCTCCCGAGTGCTGGGATTAAAGGCGTGTGCCACCACACCTGGTGGGTTTTTTTTTTTTTTTATGTGTATGAGTGTTTTGCTTGTGTGTATGTAAGTGCACCACATGTGTGCAGTATCCACAGAGGCCAGAAGAGGGTAACAAATCCCCTGGAATTTGAGTTATGGATGGTTGTCAGCTGCCATTTAGGTGCTGGGACTCAAGCCTGGGTCCTGCTTAAGAACAAGAACAGCTAGTGCTCTTAAGCACTGAGCCATCTCTCCAGTCCCTCGACCTTTTGCTGTGTGGGTCCTGAGGTTCTGAACTCTGGTCCTCTAAGAAGTGCTTTTACCCACTGAGCCATCTCTCCAGTCCCTCGACCTTTTGCTGTGTGGGTCCTGAGGTTCTGAACTCTGGTCCTCTAAGAAGTGCTTTTACCCACTGAGCCATCTCTCCAGTCCCTCGACCTTGTGCTGTGTGGATCCTGAGGTTCTGAACTCTGGTCCTCTAAGAAGTGCTTTTACCCACTGAGCCATCTCTCTAGTGCCCCCAAACTGTCTTTTCTACTTCATTTGTCTGTTGGCCTCAAACAGGTCCCCCAAAAGGTCATTCAACTCAAAAGCTTCCAAGAAGGGAGAGGGCATGGGCAGTGCAGGGGAGGGGGGAGGCCTTGAGGGGCGGTCTCTGCAGCTGGCCCTGTGGGATGCGCGTGAGTGTGGGGTCCTTCTCAGGCCACAGGGAGAAAGGCCGAGTTTTGGCAAAGCCCCAGCCTGAGTTCCACCTACGGCTGCCCAGCCATGCGACCCAGGCAGGTCTCATCTTCTGCCTCAATGGGCCTGAGCACCCATGTGCCTGGCTGGTGCCTGGTACATAGCCGACTGGTGGCTCCATCCATCATGACCTTGTCTGCACTTGCTGCCACCACCCAGCTCACCTGTTCACCGCCTCCTCCCAGGGACAGCCAGGTGCAGGCGATGGAGCACACCATCGCCAACACCGAGAAGTACTTTGGGCAGTTCTGCTCGCTGCTGGCGTCCTACACGCGCAAGACGGCCCGGCTGCGTGACAAGGCGGACCAGCTGGTCAAGCAGCTGATCGACTTTGCCAACACCGAGAACCCGGAGCTACGGGCCACCCTGCGCAACTTTGCGGAGGACCTGGCCAAAGTGCAGGATTACCGGCAGGCCGAGGTGAGCAGGGTGGGCCCAGGTCAGGAGTGAGAGCTGGAACATTCCAGTCAATGGTGTCTCCCAAGGGGTCCCTGAGGAAGGATACTCATGCTACGTTCTCCTCAGGATCACACTGCCAACAGGGTGCAGAGCTGCAAGGCTTTACTGAGTTGGATAAAAACCACTCCAGTCAAGGGGTCCCTGGAAGCCTTTGGGGGGGTTGCAGAAGGAGCAGATTAGGATTCCTGGGTGAGGAAGGAGGTGAAGGAGGGTGGGGTGGCAGGGATGTCTTGCTGGAAACATCCCATGTGACTGGCAGAGAAGGGTAACATGGGTCCACTGTGGTTGAGGGCTAGAGGGGTGACCATGGCACAAACTGTGCAGTAGACCCCACGTGCAGCCAGGCAGACACTGCCCTCACAGATGTGCTCTTGGACAGATGGTGACTGACCTGGAAAGAGGCCTGTGCTTCTCTGTCACAGTGCATGGTGATGCCACTTGGTCACCGGGTGGGCACCTATGCCGGCTGGCTCACCCTGTAGCCCAGTCTAGCCTGGAACTCAAGGCCAGCCTCGTGCCTCCTGTGTGCTGGGATCACAGGTGTGAAAAGCCCCACTCCCTCTTAGTAACTGTCTTTATCTGGAGGGAAAGTGAAACTTGTAGCTTTGTTCTGGGTGGACAGGCAGAGCCAGAGCTCTGGCCAGTCTCTCTGTCCAGCTGGGCACTGGCCTCCTCTCTGCCCTCTGTAGTGAGAGCTGGCTCTGGTCCTAAGAAAGAGCTCATGCAGCCAGCGAGGGGCATTCTGTTCTCAAAAGGTTTACAGCTCCATCAAAGGACTGAGGAAAGACTCAGGGATGAGGTTTCTGAAAGAAACGCAAGAAAAGGGTGGGACAGTCCTTCTCAATAACGCTTTAATGCTGACACTGTCCTTCTCGGGGGCAGGGGGGGCGGTCAGAGCACGTGGGAACCCGCTGGGGTTCCAGCCTCCCCTGCTCTCTGGCAAGCCCAACCTTTGAGGACTGGTACCCCAAGACAGTGAGAGCTGGGGCAGAACAGATGCTCCAGTTGCCTCACCCGGACACCAGGCCCAGCAGCCTCCTCAGAAACCCAGACTCATCTGTTGCCAGTACGATCCTGAGACCCAGAGTTGTGCTGCTTTTATAAGCCTGGCAGGCACTGGCTAAGGGGTGCATTAGCTATGCCTTCTGACAAAGCAGTCTCAGGAAGAAAGGGTTATCCTGGTCCACAGTTCAAGGGAACCATCTGTCCTGGAGGGGAAGGCGTGGCGGCAGGAGCCGGAGGCAGCTGGTCACGTGGCATCCGCAGTCAGGAGATGAGACAGATGAGCGCTGGTGCTCAGTTAGATTTCTCCTTTTTATTCATTTTGGGACCCCGGACCATAGAATGGTGTCTCCACACTCAGCGTGGGTCCTCCCATCTCAATTAAGCCAGTCTAGAAACTCCCTCACCAACACGCCCAAGAGCTGGTCCAGTTGACAATCAACCAATTAACGTAAACCACCACAGGGGACGGGGAATCTGAAGCTTGGGACAGTGTTGGTGGCCTGCGGAGGGGGGTCTTGCATTCCCTCTGTGCCTACCCCTGGCCCTGCCGGCACTTAATGGTTGCAAGAGAGCAGCCAGCTGGACTTTTCCTTGAGTGTCCTTCCTTCCCAGCACTAGAGACCTGAGCCAGGAGGATCAGGACGGAAGTCCTGTCTCTGCTCTGCTGGATTCTTTTTTTTTTTTTTAGACAGGGTCTCCCTAGTCCCAGCCTGTCTGGAAGTCACTGGAAGTCATTCTATAGACCAGGGTGGCCTTGATCTCATGGAGATCCCCTGCCTCTGCCTCCTGAGGGATGGGATTAACAGCACATGCCAGCACACCTGGCCCTGATGGACTTTTGACACAAATTCTGTCCCCAGAGCTAGGTGCTAAGGTGACCCTCCCTGGTGGCATCTCCCAATGAGTTCTGTGCCTGTGGCTGCCTGCCTAAGTTCTGGAGATGTCCCACTGACCTGCCGAGATACCCTGGGGGAACCTGAGACTACATACACTGCCCAGCCCGTAGGGGCAGAGCCCAGTCTTTGCCCACCCTAGTGCTCACAGGCCTAGGTGGGAGATCTGTGCACCACCATCCCCCCCACTGCCCCGGAGTGTAGACACTGTCCTGAAAGCTGTGTGCCCTGTGAGCCTCCCTTGGGGTCACAGGTCATGAAGGCTGTGCGCCCTGTGAGCCTCCCTGGGGTCACAGGTCATGAAGGCTGTGCACCCTGTGAGCCTCCCTGGGGTCACAGGTCATGAAGGCTGCATGCCCGTCTCACCCTGTTGCGTGTGCCCTGCAGGTTGAGAGGCTTGAGGCCAAGGTTGTCAGTCCACTCAAGCTCTACGGTGCACAAATAAAGCAGACCCAGGTGAGCTGGGGACACCTGGGGTGGGCAGGGGTAGGGTCTGTCTCCATGGGACCCCCAGGAAACAACCTTCTATCTAGGCGGACATCAAGAAATGCAAACGTGTCCAAAATAAAGAGATCAAGCAGTTGGAAAAGCTGGAGAAACTGAGGCAGAGGTCACCCTCGGATCGGCAAATGATCATATCCTTCCTGGAAGCTGGACCCAGATCTGATGGTCAGGGTGGCCACCCCGCATGGTATACCCAGGGGACTTGGGGTCCTGGGCACACTGGGCAGAGGTTGCCAAGCAGGGGCACCCACCCAACAGCCTACCTGACTCCACGTGAATCCTTAACAGCTCTCCTCAGTCCCAGGTGAGAGTCACATGTCACATGTCCCCTTGGGACAGGCGGCATCCCAGCATCTCAGGTAGGTAACAAAGACCTCATGGAGCGGCCGAGTGACTTTCACCCGGTGAGCCTGGTGCATCCGGGGCAGGAGCTCAGAACAGCAGGCAAGGCACAGGGAGGCAGTCACTGAGGGCCAGGAGGGCCAGGCTGTGTCCAGCAAGCCCATCCTACATTTGTTGGGTCACCTGCATCCTGATCATGTGGTGACCAATGCATGGTCAGACAAAGGCTGGGGTACAGTTGTGGGGTCCGGCGAGGTAGGGGGCATGGCAGTCTCTCCGTGGCTCCTTCTTGCCTACAGACCAGGCAGAGCTGGTGGGAGGTTTGTCACCTCTGCCCTGCTCATCACTCAGGGACTGGCTTCATCCAGAGCCCCTTCATGGATCTCAGTCAGTTTCATTTTGGCCCTTGGGGACATTTGGGGTTGTCACATGGGAGGGTGCCACCATGACAGCCAGTTAGACTCACTGTCTTAAGCATACAGATGTGTTCCTCATGGAACTGGAGTCAAAATCCACTGTGGGCCCCTCTGCACCCATCGTGGTGGGCAGGTTGCTCCCATGGGAGTCTGGGCCACAGTCCCCCTTGGCTTCTCCGGCCTTCCCTCCCCCTGCCCCCCCCCATGCACTGCCACCTGGAGTAAACGGTCTGAAGTTCCCTTTACTGTGGCTTGTGACCTGGACACAGGTCCCAGAGCTTAGGAGGTAGACATCATGGGCACTGCCATCCTGACTGATGTCCATTCTCCAATACAAGGGGACACGATACCAGGAGTCATGTATAGCTTTTAGCCTGGCATAAGTGCCTCTGACTTCCATCCTGGCTCCTGCCTGCACCCTACTTCCTGGTCTCCCATCTGTTCAGATTTCAGCTCCCTCCTTTATTGAAGATCTCATGGGTGCTAGCCCCCCCCCCACTTCCCTGTGTCACCATTTCACAAACATTTGGTTGATGTTAGGTCCCCATTCTAAAGACAAGGAAACTGAGGCCCGAGGTGACTTGCTCAGGGTCACACATGCCCTTAAATGGAAAACATAGAACTCAGTTCCAGCAAAAGCTTGTGATATCCAAGTTCCTCGGAGACTGGGCTTGGCATGGAGTCAACTTTGATATTAATCAGAGGAGGGAACTGGCCATTCACTTCCCAGTGCCTGTGGACAGAATAAGTTACAAAGGCCGGGAGCCCCCATGAGATAAATCTTAGCTCCGCACGTGCCCACTGTGGAATAATAGTAATAATGATAGTGATAATAGTTGGTAGTAATTCTCATAACTTTGCAAACAGGTCTCATTACTATCACAGTTATAGGCAAGGAAGTTGATGTTCAGAGAGGTTTGGTGACTTGCCTGAGGTCACACAGCTAACAAGTAGGTCTGTCCAACCCCAGTGACTACACTGTTACCATGTCCCTGTCTGTCCATTCCTTCAATGACCAAGTTGGCTAGAGATCTCCATGAGGCAGAAATTGCCCTGGAGAAGGTGGCAGGCCCGAGAACCCAGAATGGAATCTGAGGGCCAGGACCACCCTTTGACACTTTTTACCTCTTGTGTCCCTGAGGCCAGGCGGAGACCAGTGCACAGAGGGCCTCAGTGGACACCAACCGCACTACCCGCCACTTGGCAGAGACCGTGGCTGCCTTCCAAGAACAGAAGCTGAAGGACCTCGGGGTAGGTGGCCCCCACCTCGTGTGTGTGTATGTGTGTGTGTGTGTGTGTGTGTGTGTGTGAATATGTGGGTGTCCACATGTGTGTCTGTGTGTGCATCTGTGTGGACATCTTGTTTAAGGGTATATACCTGTGTAGCATGTGACCACATGGCCCTTGGGAGCCCAGGCTGTGGGGACTATTGATCCTGCCTTCAGGGTGAGAGGTCAGTTGCTCAGGGCAGGCCGTCCTGGTCCAGCTGATCACCCTGAAGTTATTCAGTGCCCTAAACACAGCTCCCAATCAGGAGGGGACTGAGGCTGAGTTCTACCCCAATCCCTTCCTGCCCACATTCTTCCTTCTAGCCCCTGCCCACAGGAGGTCCCAGCTCCCTCCCTGAGGCTTTAAAAGCCCTTTCAGGAAGCAGCCATGCTGAGGTGCTATGGCACAGGTCAAAGTGCCCCCTTCTCTCTGTCAGACACACCTCCAGCACAGTGGAATTCTGGGTTTAAGCCCCAGCTCCTGTAAGTGGTCCCAGTGAGCTTGCTCTCATCCCAACCTGCCCCACTCTCCAGCCCGCTCCAAATTGCAGCTCTAGGAACCTCCTGACAGACAGCTTGGACAGCTCTCCTCACCCTCTGGAGGCTCCCTTGTCCATGCAGTCTCCTCCACAACCCCACCCCTCCAGCCTCCTCTGCAGACCCACCCCAGGCTCAAGCCCCAAGCTCCTTCCTGCCTCAGGGACTTAGCACAGCCTGCTAAGGCCCCCTGTACTGGGTTCACCTCTCTCATTACTGAGACAGAAAGATCAGCTAGACCCCAGACCACAGGGCCCTCACTCAAACCCCATGCTCTGATCCCTTGAGGGGCATCTATCCCAGATGGACTGGTTAATTACACATTTAATTTGCTAGTTAATTGAACAGATGTTGAATATACACTTCTACATGCCAGGCATGGTGCCTGATCTTGGGATGCACACCCAGCAAAGCAAGAGTCCCAGCCTCATGGGTTGGTGTGCTTTGGGAGGGGCAGACTTCCTGAGCCGTGATGTGGGGAGGGTGAGCTCACAAGTCCACTGTTGATATCTGCCTCCTGCCTGCACTTGTGTCCATCCTGGGTCTTGGCCCCCAGGTCCAGGGCCTGGTATATGGTGGGTGCTTGGGAAATATTTGTGGAATGAATAAATGAGTCCTTGAGTGAATGAAGTTTGGAATTGGTGTCCGGGCTGTCTAGATGCGACTCCCATGAAGATGTCGTATGAAAGGGATTTAAGGCACCACTGGGTCGTCTCACTTCTAGGTGCATGACTAGGCCAACTGAGTTAAAACAGCCTTAAAGGACTGAGGATGGGGCCCAGTTTATATGGTGTTTGCCTAGCATGCACAAAACCCTGGGTTCCATCCCCAGCTCTGCAGAAACCACCTGGTGATGCATGCCTCTAATCCCAGCACGTAGGAGAACAGGAGGATCAGAAGTTTATCTTTAGCTACATAGCGAGTTGAAGGCCAGCCTGGGCTACTTAAGACCCTGTCTCAAATACCAAACCAAAGCAAACCAAACCAACAGTAAATAAGATGGGCTTAAACTGATGAGGACCCATACCCAAGCCGTGTCCCCTGGGAAGCCTTCTAGATTTTGAGAGATAGAAACAACTTGGACTTGAAGTGAGGAAATCTGCCACAACCTCAGGCCCCACTGCCAACTGCAGAGCCAGTCTCCCAACTCTGGCTTCTATGAAGAAAGGAATGCATAGGCCCTATCGTCTCCCTCAGCTGTGCAGAGATCTCCCTCAGCTAGTCCCTGGGCCTCTCAGAGTCAGGGATGGTGGGTCTGGACAGCCCTCTGCAGAGGGAGGGGGCACAGTCTAAGCCACTGCTTGACTGGCTCTCCAAGGGCTCTGTGACCTGACACTGCTCTTGTCTCCATTGAACAGAGGAGTAAACTGAGGCAGAGGTCCCCCAGGACCTGGGCCAATGAAAGGTGCATGGAGGGGTTTGGTCCACAGTGCCTCTGGCTTGGTGGGGCTCCTGCCCAGCACCTCCAGCAGCCAGAGGGAACAGGCGGGAAGCGAGGTCTGAAGCAAAGCTGGGCCTCCTGTCCATTTCCAGTACCCAGAATTTCCCTGTTACTGAACCGGGCTTCCAAACTGCTGGGCCAGAGGGAAACTTGGGAACCATCAGGCACTGGGCCTGCCTGCCACAGTGGGAAGGCCTCAGTCCACAGGCTCTGGAGAAGCTTGTTTTGATAAGCTGTCTATCAACCACGGGTCTGTGACAGGGGCAGGTCTCCCTGCAGTCCCTCCCTCCCCTTTGCAGTCCACCTGTGGGAGGCAGAAAGTCGGAAGCCTCTACCTACAAACACCTGTGGGGGGCTATAGTGACCCAGGTGCAGAGCTGAGGCCAGGACGCATTCCTGACACCCTCCTGTAGGTCTGCTGCCGAACTGTCTTTGATCAGGGGCACAAACACCTTTGATCCAGGCCCCTGCAGAGTCAGTAGCCTCACAGCTACCCAGCTCAGAAATGAAAGGACACTTGTTTGTACTGTGTGACTGTGTTACGAAAGACTGAAGACAATCCAAATGCCAGTGTTGGGGACAGTCAGATGAATCTTGGTGGCCACGCAGTCTCTGCAGGTGAAAACCAACAGAAAAGGTGGGGCTTCAGAATGACAGGGTCAGAACCGGGCACACAGGGACCAGAAGGCAGCTTATCCAGGGAATTAGTGCGAAGGCATGAGAAACTTCTGGAAGCTTATACCTCGTGGCAGTGGAGGGGTGGGGAATGGAACAGGGCAAAGAGCAGGTGTCCCCAGTGTTCTGACTGGGCACTATGCAAATACATCTGGTTCAAATACAGGTTAAAATGAGCATTTTAGGGGTCAGCAAAATGGCTCAGTGGGTAAAGGCAGGTGCTAACAAACCTGATGGCCTGAATTAGAGCCCTGGGACTCACATGGTGGAAGGAGAGAACGGAGTTGTCCTATGACCTCCAGCACCCACATGGTGACTAACAACAGTCCAAGTAACTCCAGTTCCAGGGGACCTGATGGCCTCTTCTGACCTCCATGGGCACCGCATGACACAGGTGTACTAACATACATGCAGGCAATATATTCATACACATAAAATAAAAATAACAAATGAAATTTTTTTTAAAGAAACCAGCATAAGTGCTGGGCATGGTGGTGCACGCCTTTAATCCCAGCACTTGGGAGGCAGAGGCAGGCGGATCTCTGTGAGTTCAAGGCCAGCCTAGTCTACAAAGCGAGTTCTAGGCTAGCTGGGGCTACAGGGAGACCCTGTCTCAAAAAGACCAAAAAAGAAAAACCCCACATATTCAACAAACACTCCCACCCTCCACCCCACCCCTGCCGCTCAGGACTTGTCCCAACATGGACAAGCACCAGCACCAGCACCACCCCTGGGTTCAGGCTGGAGCTCCTTGGGTGGCACTGCTGCTCTGACCTGGGCTTCTCTCCCACAGAGAATCTTTTCTGACTTTGTGACCATCGAGATGGTCTTCCATGCCAAGGCAGTAGAGGTGTATTCCAGCGCCTTCCAGACCCTGGAGAACTATGACCTGGAGAGGGACCTACAGGTGTGTGGTATTTCCACAATTTGCCAGTTTGGATGTTTATCGTGATGCAGACCTGCGCCGATAAACCTGGTGCCTGGGTGCTACCCCAGGTGGGGAAGCCTCCCCTGCCACCTGGAATGTCACCCGTCAGCATCGCGGGCTGTTCAGAACCTAAAAGGACAAGCGGGGATGAAAGGCCTCAGTGGCCTCGGTCCTACTTCCAGCACGAAGTGGTCCGTCCCCAGCAGCTCATTACATCCACCAACTTTACCTGTAGCGTCCCAAAGCTACCTCTGTGAACCAATCCCTCGTTCCTTGCCATGTGGCTCTTGTGGGCCATGTGGTCATGGCTCTGGTTGTTCACAGGCTGGGACTGGCCCATTTCAAAGGTCTTCTTCTGCCTGGCAGATGGTGGCAGAGGGCGGCTGTCCTCTGGGTACAGGCCCCATGAGGGATTGTCCAGGTGTGGGATTCAGTGACTGTGAGGTGGGCACCTACCACAGGCTTCCTGTGGTGGATGGTCCAAGAGCCAGCAGCCTGGGGCCTGGGGAGCAGCACGGCCCTGTGGGCCCAACAGGAAATCACTCTGCACGCATCTGCCTCGCCTGTTAGAGGTGGCCCACTAAGCTGCCATTCAAGAATAGGGTGGGCCATAGGAAATACATCAGAGGGTTTCAAATAAGCTCTAAAGCCACCACAGAAAGCTGCGTGAAAACCCCGGAGGTTCCCAAGAATCACCCATCTCTGTGGTACATGCCAGCCTCAAACTCACAATGCTCCTGCCTCGGCCTCCATCCAGTCAGCAATTTTCCTGTGCCACTGTGTGTTGCCTAGTGTCCCTGGGCCTTCGTTTTCCCATCTATGAGATGGGTTGATAACATTCACAGGGCTGCTGTGGAGTCCATGGAATGATAAACAGAAGTGCCCCCAGATGCCACATTTCCCCATCTTTGCTTCCTACCCCACCCTGTGGTTTCCAGTTGGATCCAGCTCATCCTGATCTCTCCTTGGCAGGATTTCAGAGCCAAGATGCATGGAGTTTTTGGACATGGAGAGGCTCAGCGGCTCACAGACACCAGCTCCTCCCTATCTGTCCCCTGGCCTCTGGCCAGTCAGGTAAGCACTTGTGGGTCACGGGACTTACTGTGGGGGAGGGGAGGGGAGCACTGTGAGGGAAGGTGTCACTCAGCCTTTAAGCAGGCCCTTCATCACAGTGGAGGAAGTGGAGTCCATAGTGAGACTCTCGTTCCAAACCCACTGGGTACAGTCTGGCCTCTGGCCTCACAATCCCACCTGCCCCGTGGCCCATGTCCTCGGTGCCCCCTCGCTGTGTAGGTCAGCCACCTGTGCAGTGCACCTAGGTCTCAGCCTGGGACACCACTTGTCACTCCTGCTTTGGATGCTGTGGCTGTGACTTTGTCATTCAGAGCACCATGAGGAGCCCAAGAGGAGGAGAGGAGAGTGAGGCTGACTCTGTGGAGGAGATCCCCCTGGAGGACCTCGGGGGACAGCGCCAGGGATGCCGCGACTAGGTGGAGGGCTTGACTGGCCTGAACCTCAGGGCCTCGCTTTCCTATCTACACAGTAGGTCACTCTGCAGATGGGTGTTCCTGGTGTCAGTAAATAACATGTGACTCTGCATCAGATCTGGGCTGTTTCCTGTCTTCATCTGGTGACAGGAGTGTCCAAAGGTGTGTTAAAGCTAAGAGCATGGGGGGCTAGTTTCCGGGGTCTCCAGGTTAAGTGCCACCAACTGGGGGTTTAGAGCAGCAGAAACGCAGTCCTTGGCTGGAGGCCAGAAGACGGGGTTTGGGGTCAGAGGGCCATTTCCTCCTGAGGCGGGCAGGGGCTGCCCTGGCCTGTGCCCGGTATGTGTTGAGGCTCATGTTCATGTTTGTGGCTGCACTGCCAATGTCTGCTTCCAACTCCACATGGTGTCCTCCCCATGTGCATCAGAGCCCGTGTCCCGATGTCCCCTTTCATAAGATCAGGGCCCTTGCTCTGTGTGACTGACTCCCAGCCCCTCTGCAAGGGCCATTTCCAGCCTCTACACACCAGGACTTAGCTCTTCTGGATATAAACTTGAGGCACGGACACTGAGCTTAGTCATGATACACAGACATAAATAATATGATAGGGTGACTGAGGGGCTATGATACACAGAGGCTCACAATGGGGAGGAAGGAGAGGAGGAGGTGCCCCAGGAGCACGTGTGGGTTAAGTCTTTGGCATATCCTCCAGGGTAGCTGGAGGATCTGTTCCCCAGGGAGACTGAGGCCCTCATGAGCACCCCATGGGTCTAGACTTGGATTCTGCACCCTTGTACTGTGGGTGTCTGTCCCAAGCACTGTGCATAGTGGCCTCCTCTGATGGGTTCACTTCTGCACCGGAGGCACAAGACTGGGTTGGACAGTAATGGGCACAACTCTGCCATCTGGAAAGCCATCTGCACCTTCCAAATCTGATTCCACCAGCGTGGGGCTGAGGCAGGTAGCTGTCTCCTTCCTCCTGTAGGAGGAAGAACGGGCTCCTGGGACTTGGCAAAAGGTGTGTTGTGGAAGGTGGGACTGCACCTGTGCCCCATCTGCCTGCCCATGCTCCTGAGGGTCTCTGTGCTCTGGGTCCTTGGAGGTCACCTCTGAAGTCAACACTTCCCCTGCTGAAACTCTCGTGACCCCTGGGAAGAGTCCAGATGTGTTCCCTTTAGCCCGGTCCTCCCTCTACACTTGGCTGAGGGAGGCAGGCAGTAGGGTGCAGAGGGCAAGCCTCATGTTCCTGAGATAGGGACAGTGCACTGGTCCTCATGTGACTGGCAGGGAGTCCCCAGAGCTTAGTCACCTCCGCCAGAGCCCTGCTGGGGTCAGAAGCAAGCAGGCCTGGCATCTCCTCCTCGTCCGTGGAACCCAGTTGGAAAGAACAGATGGACTGATAAGGACTGCTGCCTCCGGCACCATGGTCAGAGCCATCTCAGCTCCCGGGTGAAGAGGTCGGCTGTTTCCACTCAGACAGGCTGCAGGATCAAGGGGCCTTTGGCTAAAGTACAAGGCATCCCAGTGCCCAGGAAGGGACCCAGTCCAGGAAGACCCTTTTTTCTCCAATACTGAACACTGTGGGGTCAAGCTGCTGACCACCACCGTCCTCAGGTGTGCCCTCTCCCAGCCTCTGAATCTCACATCTATTTCTGCAAAGTTACTGATGTGACTGTGCATCCTGTGAAGTCCTCACAGAGATGTGAGAAGTTCATCTGACTTCTTTTTTAAAGATAATTTATTTCACTTTCCACCTTCTGACAAGACAAGGTATTATATATATATATGTGTGTGTGTATATATATATATACACATTTTTTCCCTTCACAGAAAATAGCATTGCCTGAGATCTTCAACCTTTAAACTTTCTCAACCATAATTTTAGAGTGTGACCTGGTGGGACACAAAGTTGCATAACTAATACATAAAATAGCATCACTAGGGGCTGCTGGCAATGATGGTGTGATGGCGGCAGGTGTGGAACTCCTCGACAGAGGACAGTCCAGGTATAGACCCCACAGAAAGCTGTGTTCGAAACACAGGGCACATGGCCCATGTACCCCACACTTCAAGGGGATGCACACTTGCTGCCTGAGCCTCTAATATCTTTCAATGGTCAAATGTCTCACCCCTCTCGGTGTCCCTGGCCTGGATGGCAGTGAAAGTCTCAGGCCACTGCCTGAGCTCATCCCCCCAGTTGACCCTTAGTTACCATCTCTTGCAGTGGGCCAACCTCCTTCCCCAGGCCAGGTCTCCCTCATGAACGTACCCATCATCTAGGAGCAACGATGGGACAGGGCTGGCCTGGGCTTTGGATCAAAGCCGAGGGGCTCCATAGGTAGGGGCCTTCGTTCTAGCTGAAGTGCAAAGTTCCTGGAGGTGCAGCTGTGTCCATCCCACTGCAGATCAGTCTGGAGTCTGCAGTGAAACTGGGGTCAGCTTTCCCCCAGGTCACCAACTTCACATGGCCACAGCCTGGCTTGGGGTGGTGCTCCCAGCTCTGTAGTTCTTCAGGACTTAGGCCGACTGCCACAAGGACACTGTCATAGCTGCCCTCAGTCACCCTGCAGTATGGCACACTGGCCCCCACCAGCCCCTGGACTTCATCTCCCCAGGAGGAGCAGGCGACAGGCAGACCCAGGACAGAGCAGGGGCTCCTCAAGAGCCCACCATGGAGCATGACGCTAAGCAAGGATGTTTGCCGCACGCGAACACTGGGAAATACTTCATCGCCTCGCTTCCTGACCAACCAGCACACCCCAATGTTGAGGCATGTTGAGGTGGGTGGCCCACCTGAGTGCAAGGAGCCCAGCCTACCCGAGGCCTGAGCATCACCTCCACCCCCCTTAGGGGCCTATCCAATGAGCGGGCTCTGTGACTCTGGACCTCCACTGGCAGGACAGATGGGCAAGGCAGCTTAGGCATTAAGGAGGGCACTGTAGGGTTGGCTGGCTCAGAAGGTGGAGGAACGGGGGCAGGAGCCTGGAGCCCAAGGTCTCCCTCTGCTAAGCAGCTCTCCCACCCTTCCCTGAGGCCAAGCTGGGGCCAGTGTCACCCTTTAGGGTCCCTTCCACAAGAAGGTTTCCTCTACTTTTGAAGTACTCGTTCCCAAGCCTCTTGCTGCTCCTATCAAAGGACTAGGCTATAGCCTGTCCTGCTGTGGTTTGGAGGACTGGAATAGAGCTGTTCTAATTGCCTAGGCCCAGCCGATTCCTCTCTGTATGAAAAGTCAACTGGTTAGAGTGACCCAGTTAAGTCAAAGTTGGACATGAGCCTATGACCCTGACCTGAGGTCACCCCAATTAGACCAAAGCCTTTTGCACACTCCTTTGAGGTGAAGCCTGGGTCCCTCCCACTGGCAACCTAGAGCGGCAGGTGTTTCTAGAGTGGGGCGCTGACCCTGTAGCCTCCTATCATGTCCATGGGTCCCACAGTGCCCCCAGGGACAGAAGGCCTGCTGCTTCCTCTCAGGTGAGGCAGGCTGTGACTCCCCTTGTGTATCAGGCCAGTTCTCAAGCTATGAGCCTGCTCTAAGCCGGCCTGTGTCCCTTTATTGGTTTCCTTGAGACAAAGTCTCATGTAGTCCAGGCTGGCTTAAACCCCCATATAGATGATGACCTTGAACTCCTGATCTTCCTGCTTCCAGTTCCTGAGTGCTGGGATGACAGGTACACCACTGGGCCCAGATGGGTCTTGGAAAAGACTGGTCCCTGGTCCTGCTGCGACGCTGGGCTCTTCAGCCCCTTCCTTCCTTAGGCAACAGGAAATTGTGGTCTCCCACGTTGAACTGTGCAGATGCCTCGATACACCAGAATATGACTCTGCACTTGTGGTTAGACGCAAAGGCAGCCTGGAGGCCACTGTGGCCGTCCTCCAATACCCACCAACATCGCTATCAAAGCGGAACGCTGCAGAGCTGCAGCTCACCACTGTCCTGTTTTCATCTGTGAGAACACACACTATTTTTGGGTGATAATGATTCACACAGTCCTGAAGGCCACGTGGTACAAAAGCTGAGCGAGCTGCTAAAAGGCTTGTGGATCCGGGTCATCATTTGCCCAGGGCCAGAACTGTGCTTGGGCATTACCTGACCCATGCTTGCCATCCCCAAGCTTGGCAGGGTGGCCAGTGGGTTCCCTGCTGCAGGAAAACAGGATGTCTCAGTGGGTAGGCTGCTGGCCTTCTGGGTACATTGTGTCTCCTCCTAGAGACACTGGCCAGGGGCTCCCAGAAGTGAAACTCTCACTAAAACCAGGTGTCTACATCTGCAGGTGACCACCTCCAAACTGCAGTTTTGCTAGCATCCCAAGGACCATCCTGTCCCCATAGGGTTACCATGTCCCTAGAAGTGCCACGTGGGCCTAGGACAAGCTAGACTCAACTCCATGGAGCTGGATTCTTCAGAATAAGGGATGAGGAAAGAGACAAAATGAAGCCATCCCTTCTTCCTCTTTCAACTGCTCTCTCGAGAGGTCGGTATGGGACTGTATCAAGGTCATTTCTGAAGTTCACCTGCTTAGAAAACCTGGGAACATCAGAGCTCCTGCCCCCAAAGGCTGTTCACAGCCAGTGTCACGGGAGAAAGTAGAAGTCACACCATACCGGCCCTGATGTACAAGAGTGGTGGGTAGACAACGGTAAGCCTCTCGGCCACCATAGAGTCAACTCTTACTACTCCTGACCTAATGCCAATGCCAGGACTGAGGAGAACATAGGCCTCCGTGCCAGCCTGCGTGGCTGAGGACGACTCTAGAGGGGGTACATGATCTCCGGAGGGGGCACTGGAGGAAGGGGCCACACCGATCAGTTTGATGTCACTCCCCTATAACACGGAGGCAGGCACGGTCGAGGGGTCCTAGTGCTGGAGTGACGGGACGGCATCCCAGATGGCGGTCTGCCCCAACCCCAGCCCAGGCATGCACACCACAGCAGGTTGTACCTTCTGGTGGTACTGCTAGCCGCACCCGAGTCACACACACTATGCCACCAGAGGCCGCCCCAGACCTCTCTCCTGGCTGTCAGCATTTGTTCAGTGATGCATACTCCTCCCCAGCATCCAGGGCAGACACGCTCCATAGCTCAACCTACCAGTCTCTTCCCTGGACACCCCGGGGTGGAGCTTCCCACAGGGAAGGCTTGCCCGCCCCAGCCAGGTACGCAGCTGTCAGCAGAGGACTGCTGTGCTCACAGACACTGACTGAATCTGACTGAAGGCTGAGGGGCAGAGGGGATGAAGGGGAGCCTGCTGGCCTAGTTCAAGGTTAGTGACCAGAATATTGTTGGCCAAGGTGAGGAAACCTAGGCGCTGGCGGGATGGATGGAGGCAACATGCTGGCATCGGGACGGAGGTACAGGTCCTCCTGGGTCTTCAGAGGGAGGGAGAGGGGCATGGACTTGAGCTGCCAGGCAACTGCGCCTCCCAGCAGCTTCTCTGGAGCAGCCTCCCGACTCCCGCCAGTCACTCACAGCGAGGGTTAGGGTTAGGGTTAGGGTTAGGGTTAGGTCATCCCAAAGCTGCTGAAGCCTCTCCCCCAGGCTCCCGCCTTCCCTTCCACTTCTCTGCCACCACAGGAGGCTGTGCTGAGCAGACCGTCAATTCTGTTCTGCTGGCAGGATGCTCACACCCCTAGCATGGTGACAAGCCTTGCCTTGCCAAACCAGGAAAGCGTGCTCTTAACCCTTCAGCTCTCTTCCTTCAGTCCCAGTGACTTCTGGTTCCGATCACAAGGTGGAGACAAGGACACAGCCAATGCCATTCTGGAAGGTTCTGTGCTCCACGCAGTTCACTCACAGAAGAGCCTCAGTTCTATGGCAAGGGTCTGGGTAGCCACTGTGGCTATATGCCTGGCCTCTGATGTTGGCTCGGCCCTCACAGCTGTGTGAATCCCTGCCGTACCTCTGCGCCTAGCCACCTCAGGCCTCAGCAGGAACCGTGGGGACCCTGGCTCCCCTCCTCCTCCCTTCATATCGTCTCAAATGCCTTGTGCTGGGGGTGTGGGGGGTAGATGGTTCCCCATTTTTAGCTGTGTGACCCAAGGGACACCTTGCAGGTGGATGGGAGGAGCAGACAGAGGCGGGGGGGACAGGCATCTGGAGTCTTCTAACCACTACTTCTAGGGCAGCAGGAGCAGCTCTGGGTGCTGCTGGTGTCATGCAGGGTCATCGTTGGGGTGACAGCTGCCAGAAGAGTGGCATGCACCCACCTCCTATTCGGTGGCCGTTTGCTCGATGTGGTCACTTAGCAGCTTGTATTGCTCTGGAAGAGAGAACAGGGTCATGCCAGAAAAGACAGGGCCAGGGCAGGCTCCACCTACTCTTTACACACAGGCCAGGGTTGTGTGTGCTGGCTGGCCCTCCTCGACCACATCCCAGAAGGCTGGTGATGAAGGTACGTGGTGAAACACCCCTCGTTACCAGCACAATGTGGAACAGTGGAAGCACACACGTGGAAGTGGGCCCTTGCCTCTAGGAGCACAGACTTTTACAGGAATGGTCATACATGGAGTGCGCACCCCCAGGGGGCATGCTGGGCTCTGATGGCTAACCTCGGGCCTAGGCAGTGCACAGGGCCACGTGGAGGGGGATATGGCAGTATCTCCCTAGCTTTCTGATGGCCACACAGGGCTGAGGCAGCACTGAGGGGGCCAGTGGCTATAAACACCATTCTGTCCCTGGAGCCTCTCTTCCTGGACCCTCAGGTTGAGTGTGGACAGATTCCTCGTCCATGAAAACACTCATCTAAGCATCAGGCCTTTGGCCCAGGAGAACTGGTAGTGGATGCTGATGCAAACTGAGACTGGGTTGACAGCACAGGCTGGTGGACTTCCTGGGAGATAAAGCAGGGGACTCTGGGAATACTTCAGAATTCTCCACATGCTCCCCCTGCTCTGCCTGCTACCTGCCATGTTGGCGTGCTTCAAGAAACAAAAGGCAGCATTTGGTGGCTGTCTAGAAGGGGCCAACTTGTAGCCTGGGTTTGGCTTTGCACAAGCACAGAGGCTCAGTGCCAGGGGCGTGTTGAGCTCTGACCTGGCTGTATCCCATGCCACCCAGAATCCCTCCAGATAGACAGCTGAAGTCTGTGGACTAGGGAAGGCGGGCAGGCCAGGGCAATGGTCAGCACCATTTCTGACTGGCGGGGCGGGAGGCCCCAGTGCGGAGTGCTGCTTCCGGCTCCTGGCTCCCACGGTACCTGCTGCCCAGTGCTCACCCTCATCCAGGTTCCCGATCACGGCCTGCTTCTTCAGGAAATCACTGCACAGCTTCTTGTTCAGGCCGAAGGCCAACATGTTGTGAGTGAACGTGCTGGAGGAAAAATACCGATGACTGTTACCCTCCTGCCCCCAGGGAAGGGAACCAAGACGCTGGCCCCTGAGTCTGGGCAGCGTCGGTGATGATGCCCTGCAAGCTTCCTAAGTGAGAGTTGTTCCCCTGGGTGGTACCGGGGGAGGAGGACCTCCCAGCCCCATGCTTCTGAGCAGTTGGACCCACCATGCTGCCCCAGCCTGTGAGGGTAGCCCAGGCTGGCCCGGTGGCCCCCACTCTCACCCCAGCTGCCCAAAGGTGATGTTCTCATTGAAGCGCAGGCTGTCATCCCGCTCTTCCTGAGTCATGTGGTACCATTTCTCCCTGTGGGCACAAGAGGGACAGACAGGCTTCAGACAGGTCTGCGATCCCTCCCTGTCCTGCACTTCAGAGCTGGTGACCTGAACTGCCTCTTGGGCACAGAGGGACCTGCCTCTGAAGGGCGGCTTCCACGCAGCCTGCCACCTCACTTGCCCAAAGGGCCCCAACCATCAGCATTGATCCCCAAAGCTAACAACACTCTGCCCTCCTGGAGACCTGGGAGGGCCATGCCCCTCAGACTTCCCACAGACTTGGTCTACCTAACAGGCCAGGAAACCTAGAGGGATCATAGACCTGCTTGGTGTCCCAGGACAGAAGACACATAGGTAGTGAGCCTGGGAGTGTCTGATGGCCACAATGACCCTTCCCTTGCAGAGAGACTCTGCCTGCCTCATGGGAGGGTCCCCACCATGGCTGCCTCCCAGCCCCCACTGCATGGAGGAAACACTGTATCTTCTTCCTATAGGTCTCCTGGCACAGGCCTGTGACCATGTGGCCTTGGGAAGCCAGTGCAGAAGTGGGCTGGTGAGCAGCCTCTGAGGAAGGACCTATTCTCTGCACTGGGCAGGTAGCATGGAGTGGCCCAGGTACCTGGGTTGGGGAGGAGTGTTCTTTGGGGAAGGGGCAGAAGCAGGACAGAAAGCTACCTGTCTTAAAGACTCTGCTGGCACCCCTAGCAAGACAGTCACATGTCACACACCACTCTGGTGATGCCTTTCGAGGGCAGCCTCCCAGGAGGCCTTGGAGGCCCCATCTCTGGCCTGTGTAAAGCCAGACCCTGGCACCCAGAGGACAGATGCACAGCTGAGACAGGAGGGAGAGCTCATTTTGCCCACCTCCCTAAAAGAAGAGTTGGGATGGATGACTGCCTAAAATAAGGTTGAGAGACCAAAGCACAGGGAGAGAAGAGGCATGGAGGGGGAGGGAGGCCATGGAGAAGCCAAAGGAAGAGAACAGGGCAAAGGAACAAAGCCTAGGTCCCTGGCCGCCACATGTCAGTGGGGCCACCTGAACACTCAGCAGGGCGGAGCTCACCTGCAGCCTCTACATTGAGGCAGCACACCCAGATCCCAGAATGCACTTGTGGGGTGGTGTGGTCCTCCAACACACGTTCTAAGGCCATTCAGGCACATACATCCCTGTACTACCACAGGCTCCATGTACAGATGCCCACAGTGGGCACTGCCCAGTCCCAGATCATAGTAAACAACTCTCAAGATTGTGCAGCACAACCCCTGGTCCTTCCTTCCTGACCTGTGAGGAAGTGATTCTGCTTGCTGTGGGTGAGACTAGAACTGGGGATCATCTGATTCTGAAGAAAGTAGGAGGTCAGGAGCTGTGGCTTGGGTGGTGCCTGCCACCTAGTCTCATTCTGAGAGCTGAGTTCAGGGAACACTGCTCGGGACTCTAAGCTGCTGAGGGTGTGTGTATATGCGCGCATGTGTCTGTGTGCATATGTGTGTCTGTCTCTGTGTTATGTGTGTCTGTGTGCATGTGTATGTGTCTGTGCATGTCTGTATGTGCCCAGAACTCAGTGGAAAACTTTGGAACCAGGTGATGGGAAAGGAATCTGCTATCAGCAGAGATCACTGAGAAAAGGAGCCTACTGGAGGTCGGGGGTAGCCTGAGGCCTGGAGCGACACTCGCCACACTCCAGCAGTCCTGTGCTGGTTAGCTAGCTGCTTGGGGTCCAGCGAGAAGGCCCAGGAGGCTGACTGTCCCTTCAGCTGAACTCAGGACAGGTGAGCAGGCCAGCAGCATGACCAGCTGTCTGGAGAGATCCTTTACTTTGGGCCTGTGCTATGGCGTTAAGAAGCCCAGCTCCCTGGAGGTTCCTTTGTCAGAAGGTCCCCTGAGAGATGGTGGGTGTGTGGGGCTCTGCCACTGTGAAGATGCTGACAGGCGCAACTGCTCCTTCTAGCAGCAAGGGTCCTCAGAGCAGTGTGCTGTAGACCCTCCCATGAAGCACGCAAGCTGGGGCCCAGCAAGGAAACCCGCCTGGGTTCGCAACTCCATGTGAGCAGGTGTGGCTCTGACTCTGAAAATAAGTCCCAGGGGCTTCTGGGAACATGAGTCAGACCTCTGTAGGCTCAGAAGCAGCCCCATCTTTGCTTCAGCACCACCTCTAACTGCCCCCAGTCACCCAGTAGCAAAAGGGAGGCAGCTGGTCTTCCCGGTGACCCACAGACCAGCTGACCCTCCCCCAATTAAAGTGGGCAGAGCTGCACACAGGACAGCTTCCTATGCCCACCCTCCATTTCAGGCCAGTATAATTCCTTCCTCTGACTGAGTGCAGATTGGCGTAGAAGGCACAGCATAGAGAACACGTGCAGAACATGATGCCCCCAAGTGGCAGCAGGCTTTCTGACCTGAATCTCTCCCCCGAGCCTGCATGTGTCTTCTGTGGTGGCTCACAGTGCCCTGCTCGTTTTAGGACCTGCCCTCTTCTCTGAGCCTGAATGTGTCTTTTGGAGCGGCTCGCAGTGTTCCATCTGCTTTCTGACCATCTTAGGGTGATCTGGCCCTGCTAAGCTGCCTGTCAGGGCCCAGACCCTGACAGCAACCTGCCTAGCACTGGGCATGCCTCCCCAGGGATGCCCACCCCTCCTAGCAACGGCCTTGGAAGGAGCTGCAGTGCTGTAAAGTGGAATGAAGTCACGTTGGACACACACCTCTTCTCCTCCTGCTCTCCAGCATCCCCTCTGGAGCGGCAGCAGAAACGGGTAAACAAAGGCACATGTCAAAGTCATGCAAGATATGTGGATGGAACAGAACAGAGAATTATCCCAGGTGGGAGAGGAGAGGACAGAGACAAGGAGCCCAGAGCACGTGGATCCCTAGCAGTCAGAGAGCTTGGCGAGATGTCAGTCAGCTCCCTGAGGAGCAGCCCTGCCTCCAGGCCAGCGGGAACTCACCCAAGGTCCTCCGGCATTCTCGGGCCTTGCCCACCCCATGCTCTGCTTCCCCAGGAAACAGCCCCACAGACCATCACTGGACTTGAGGCAGGTCACCTGTTCCAAGTAGGGCTCCACCTCACACACACCACTTGCTTGCAGTGGGGGCCAGATGGTGCTCTGCTCCCAACACAGCAAAAGGCCCAGGGTCTCCCTGACAGCAAACTGAGGCCCTGAGAGACTGCCTGCGAAGCCCCTCAAGTGCTGGACCAACCGAGCCTCATGGTCTGGCGTGGCTTCCAGACGCTACTGCTCTAGGCTGCCCAGCAACTGACTGCAGTGCACAGCAACCTGTGCCTCTTTCAGCCAGAGAGCCCCTGTGAGGTCAAGGCCAACACTCTCCCTGCTTCCCATTCTTTCTGTATGGGGTTCCACGGGGCCTCTGAGATGTGGCCCAGCCTGGGCACAGCTGGGACAGCCTACTCAGGGCTCAGCTGCACTGCCGGGCTTGAGTCTGCACAAGGAATAGCAGGGTGGGGTGGAGGCTGATGGTCTCCCTCACGGGAAGCTGGCATTTTCAGGAAGATCAGGCCACGGCATGCCAGAGCCCAGGACAGGAAGCACCATGCAAGCTGAGCACCCCACCCACGGAGCTGTGAGCACTGACCCTTCAGATAGCTTGCAGGGCTGTGGGCCGTGCAGGTGAAGACAGCAGCTCAGCCATCCTGCTGACCTCTGGGGACCCAGGAGACTGAGCCAAGGCCTGGTCCCCTCTCCTGAGGCTGAAGGCTGGCTCCTACCTGGTGGTGGGGGATCGCTTCCGCCTCTCACAGTGGACAGCATCAAAAAAGGCGGCATTCCAGAACCTCAGTGTGTGCCTGCAGGACGAGACTGGGTGACGGTCTTGAGGGGGCAGGGGAGCTCCCTTCCGCCCACTCCGCACCGAGAGCGCAGCTTCTTGCCTCCTGAGTGTCTGAGAAGCCTGAGAGGTTGAATAAAGCATCGCCCCAGGGACCCGGTGCGGGTGGAAGAGCTGAGGAGGCTGCGGGAGGGTGGTGCAGCACCTGCTCGGGCAGGAGACAGTAGGCTTCCCAGAGCAAGTGGACACCTGGACTCCTGCTCTGCAGAGCAGCCACGCACCGCGGACACAGCAACAGGAACATGGAAGTGAAAGGAGTTCCGTGCAGATCAGGAGTGACACGTGGCCTGCACGTGAAGGTGCAGCACCACATAGCCACAAGGCAGCTTTGGCTCCGCATGGCCCAGAATCTACAACTTGCTCTAGAGCTCTTTGCCACATCCTGGGTCCAGGACCTGAGGGCCTACTACCACAAACACTGGTGGTGTAGGGGCTGGGTAAGCCCATCCCTCTCTACTGCGTGGTGTCTGCAGGTGGTTCAGGCCAAGGCCAGCCTCCAGGTGGCTCTGGAAGGTCCCTGGCTGCTTTTCCACATGGCAAAGGAGTGGAGAGGGAACAGTGATGTGCAGCAGAGGCCAGTCACATGGCGCAGCCTGCTATAGAGCACTCGAGAGAACTAACTGTCCTGTGATAAGGTCTCGAATCCCTTCTGAGTAGTTCCAGAATTGCCCACCTCACTCTAGGCCTTGCTCCTCAAGCTTTCACACCTCAACACTGCCACAGCAGGGACATGTGCCAACACATGGGGGACACAAACCACAGCTAACCACAGCTAATCACAGTCCTTGGCCCTCACCTCAACTAGAACGTGCAGTGTATGCGTGTATGCATGGTATAGGTATGTGCTTGTGTGTGCATATATACACATACATGCACACATGTGCAGTAACTTTACTAGGATATAGTTTGCAGCCCATGAAATTCACCCTGTGGTGTGTCCCGTTCAGACCAGGGCATAGCTGAGTAGTCACGCTGGCCTCGCCTGACATTTCTAGTGCATTCCAGTCGTGTAGCAGCCATCACCACTGTCTAACTCCAGAACACTTCTGCCACCCATAAAGAAACCCCATCGCTCAGCACTTATCTACTGGCCTAGCTTTTCTGCATGAACGGCTCGCAGGACACACGACCTTCCACGTTTGCCCACAAGAGCAATGGCCTGGGATCACTGTGTCATGGCCTGTGTCCAGGTCTACTTCATGGCACAGACACACTGTGCTTATGTGAGGGCCAGCTGGCTGTGTCTGGAGCTATTCTGAAGAGTTGCTGTGAATGCTCCGTGCAGGCATCCGTGTAGACACAGGCACGGACCTACACAGGAATGGCTGGAGCACGGCTACTCTGGCAGCCTCTGGGCAGCGACCAGGCATCTCCACAGTGGCTGTATCACTGCACCCTCCCACCAGCAGTGCAGAGCTCCGATTCCTCCATGCCCCTGCCCATACTTGCATCCTGTCTCATTCTGATCCCCCACCCTAAATCAGGGGTGGCTTTTCTGATGGAGTGCTGGCGGCTAGAACACTATGGGCGACTGCCCCAGGTTAGATGGGGCGAGGGTGTGGGCAGCCCTTACCAGATGGGCTGCTGTCTCAGGTGCATGTACAGGTAGACCTTCTCCCCCTTCTGTTCGTCCTCGGGGCTGACCACCGTCACTGCAGAAGGAAGGAGACCCAAGGGCAGTGTGGCTGGGCCCACGTCTCAACAGCCATGGCTTCCCCAGAGTCATAAAGCCGCACTGTCCAAATTCTGTGACTGCATGTCTGCAGACCTCAGCCAGTGAGGAGGCGCTCAGCCAAAGGCATCCTCTGGAGAGATCCTGGGAGTGGTACCCCTCCCCTAACATCTGACAGTGTCCTTGGGTTAAGGGTTGAGTTTCCCCACCCTCCTTAGAAAAGCGGCCCTCTAATGAAAACTTTTCATTCATAACCTGTTTGTTTCTGTTGTTGGCTAATAATGGTGGGCTACTTGAAGAACCCTGGGTGGTACGTCTTGGTTACAAGGCCAGACAGGTAAAGTCCTACCTCCCATAGAGGTCCTCCCTTCCCCATTGATCTCTCCATCCCCACAGAATGCACATCTCCCCAGGCCCTCCATCTCCACAGACCCCATCTCCCCAAAGTCCTGCCTCCCTACAGGTCCCATTCCCACAGCCCCCCACCTTGCATAGGCACCCCTCTACACAGGCCCCCGTCCGCACAGGCCTCCGTCCACACAGGCCTCCCTCCACACAGGCTCAGCCTCCTAGCCAGCTCAGAGAATAGGGTTCTTACCAGTCTTCATCTGTTTGTCCTTAGGTCTGGTCTCATCGTCCCTAGAGGGAGAAAGACGGAAGCAGTGAGCAGGCGGCCCAGGCCCCATCTCAGATGCCGCACCGCGGCAACCCTGTGCTCTGTGTGGCTCCTGAAGAGGGTTCAGAAATGAGCAGCACAGTGGCAGCCGCCACGTCTGGGAACTGGGGCCTGTGGTGCTGAGCTGGCTTGACATGGTGGGAGGCCGTCATCTGCAGCGGGGTGGGTGGGGGTGCTGGTGGCTGCAGACTGTCTTTGGGACCCCTGGTGGTATCTCTGCTTCAGCATCCCTGTGGACCAGTGCACCCCAGGGTCCTGGGTCTGCCAGAGCGGCCTCTTGGGAGGCAGTGGACCGCAGCCTTCTTGGGTCCCACTAACACTAATGTGCGTGGCAGGGAGGGGGAGGAGGAGGGGCAGAGCTTGTGATTCTTCTGCTGCCGCTGACAAGGCTATCCGTTCCTCGTCAATCCAGAAAACATGGCTCCCCAACACCTGCGTGTCAGTGAGCAAGCAGCAGATGAGAACCGTGGGGAGCTCTGGGGAAGCTGAGTCACGGTCAAGGACAGCTACAGGCCCAAGACTGCAAAGACCCACGTGGGAGGCCCTGCACCTGCACTCACTCGTTCTTCCTGACCAGCGGTCCCTTCAGCTTGGTCTCCAGCCCCCCGAAGAAGCCCTTCACGTTCTCTGTGTTCTTCAGCAGTCGCTCTGCAATGTCCTTCTTCTCCGCCAGCCAGCTGTTGGCTGACTTCAGATAGGAGTCAATGCTGCCAGCCGGCTTCTCCCTGGGCTCCATGGGGAGCAGGTGTGGCTTGCCTTGAGAGAGGAGGAGGATGGGTAAGAAGCAGTTTACAGCATGGATGGAAGAGGGGAAGGGCCTGAAGGCAGGGGCTGCGGGACTACACAAAGCCCATCCTCAGTCTCCCCAGTAGGACGGACAGAGGCAGATGGCTTAGCTTAGCAGGCTCTTCAGACAAGGGAGGCCTGAGCCTCCCTGGGGTGGTCCCCAAGCACTGACTATACAGAACACTGGGCAGGAGCTGGGAGGGAGGTAGATGCTGCCTGAAGGAGCTGGGAAGGTGGGTGATGTGCACAGTGAACTACCCAGCAGGTCTGAGACACTGGCAGAGGAGAGAAGCAGCAGCCCTGGGCAGGGTGCAGAGTGCAGACTCAGGCCCATCTCAGAGACATCTGACTGGGCCCCCAGCAGGTAAATATGGGGTACAAGAGGGGGGGAGGGGTGGGCAGTGAAACCAGAGCCCCTTCCTTAGGGCAGCAAGTGAACTTACAGACCAAGTAGACCCCTACAGGCTGAGGGTTCTCTGCAGGGCAAGGCTAGCTGAAGGGCCTTTGCACAGACCTTGACCAGGTCAGTGGAATGAACCTGACCTGAAGGTAGCCGGCACATGGGCTGGCACCAGGACAGTCTGATGACCTATGGCAGTCAGACCAGCTGGCACCGGATGTCCCAGAGCCAGAGCAGAGGGAAGGGGCTACACCAGGAGAGTGAGAGCACCATAAGCAGGAGCTAGGGACACCTACTAGAGACCCACATCAGGTCCTCCACAGTGAGGCTCCCAGCGCCCTCCTCAAGGGGCTGAGCCAGGCTCTGCTGGCAGACTGCAGAGCTCAACACCCTGGAGCTCCTGCATGGAGAACGAGTCAACTCAGTGGGCCAGAAGAGATTTCCTGGCTTTGCATCATCTTCACCAGGACGTCCCCAGCCACCCCAGACTCTTCTTGGGACCGTGTCCTAGCCTGCTCCCCTCAACGGGCAGCTCTGAATCATGCAGTGACCCCGCATACAGCGTTCCCTCACGTGCTGTGTGACTTCCTGCCCTGGGGTTCATCCCCTCAGTGATGAGTGTGCCACTTCCTTCACTGCATGGACTACCAGCCCCAACCCCCAGTACAGCCCTGGATGTTCAGAGTCTCACCCCTGCTTCTTGTCCCCTCCCCAGGATCAATCCCTGCTTTCCGGAGGCCCCTCGGCCTGCCTTTAATCAAGAAGATGCTCTGCCCCGGCTCACTCACCAAGGTGGTAGTATGTGAAGCACATGGTCATGAGGTTCTTCGCAGGCCCGAAATCGTCCATCTGGTGGCACCTGGAATAAGCAGGACTGGCTGGCTGGGGCTGCTCTCCCTGACCCTCCATGGCCAGCGAGTGAAGCAGAGCTTCCGAGGCCGATGTGGGCTAGCACTTCACTCCCAAGATGCTGCCCCGGAGGTAACAAGAGTGCACTCAGTGCAACCAGGAGTGCCACCTATAGGCACATGGCCTGGGTCAGGGCCTGGCTCTGAGAACGGAATGGTGTTTGTGCTCCTCAGCTTGGTGTCTTTCACATTAAGATGAAACTCAAAGCCTAGGAGGCTCAGCCCAGCATACCTCAGCGGAGAAAACCAGAGGTAGCCTCAAGCCTTGGTCCACACCAGATACCCAGGTCATCTGACCATGGCCTCTACTTCCCAGGGGTCAGCAGGAAGCCCTGGCTGTCCCTCACACAGAGGCTCCGGTCAGCAGCCCCAGATGTGAACCACTGAATAGTCCTAGGGTCAGACTCGGGGGTCAGGGATGATGAGACTATGCATCCCTCATAAGAACCTGGGGTACTGCTGTCCCCCCCACAAACTTCCGCATATAAGAAATGGACACACTGAATGACATTCTACAAAAGCACGAATCGGTCTATTCTTACCGCATTACAGTAAATTGTTATACAATTTTAATCATATAAGATTATGGGACACGCTGCAGCAGGAGGGGGCTGACTATTCTGCTCCCAGAAGATGATGGTCACAACTTCAGGGTGGGTGACAGCTGGTGTGGCCATTACTCACAGCTGGCTCAGGGGGTGGGGGAGGCATTGGGGAGGGTGTCACTTACTCAAACAGCACCACTGCAAAGGACTGCACCAGGCGGTAGAAGGTCGGCTCAGACACACACTTGGACTTGCAGCGCTGTCCAGAAAGGGCCAGGCACATCAGTGGGGGGACTGGTGACACTCAGTGGGGGACTGGGTGACACTCAGTGGGGACGGGGTGACACTCAGGGGGGGACTGGGAGATACTCAGCAGCTCCATGAGGCTGGGGCTTAGTACTGTGCATGTGTCTAATGTAGCTGGGAAGGGTCACTTCCTTCTATCAGGATGCCAGGCAGGACACGGCCACTACACAGGGCCCTCACCCACCAGAGCCCAGCAGGTACCGTCCTGCATCATCCTCACAGGATTCCAAAAAGAAACTGGGATACTCAGCTTACCACAGGGAGAAGCACAGAGAGACAAAACCCCAAATGTCATGGCTGGCTATTCTGGGTTTGTTAATTACTTTTTTCTGCATTTCCTAATTTCTCTATGAAGAATGCATCCTTTATGATGAAAATATGCAGGAAAAAAAGCTCACTGGAAATGAAGACACGACTCTTCTCTGAGTTTTGTTAACATACATTTGTCTTTACAATGTTCATAGACTAGAATATGTTATCCTCTGCAAAACTCAATACTATAGGTTATGTATTGAAAATACTCATCAACAGAGCTTACATGCTTGCCTTTGAAAGAGAAATTTCCTGAAACTTGCCAACCCCCCACAGTCCCCACTCTCTCCTCTGTGTCTGAGGTGCTGGGCGCCCACTCACCTGGGCACTCACGTACCGCGCAAACCACTCTCGGCCTTTCCCGCCCTCACTGCTGCAGAACTCCCCAAACTTGGCTTTCTCCTCCTGGTCCAAGTCCTCCCTGAGAGAAGGGCAGAGGGGAAATGAGGCTTCACCCCTGAAATAAAAACCCCAGCAGAAGAGCGGGAAGGAGCAGAGGAGAGCTGACCAGAAGACGCCTGGCACGTCGGCTTCCCTTGCCTTCCAGGGAGGACGGGGGGGGGGGGGGGGGGGGGGAGGAATCCTGCTTGCCTCCTCCCCTGCTAGGGCCTCAGCTAGGTGATCTAAACCCTGGGGAGGCGCAGGCCCTGTTTGGTTCTGTGAATAGCGAACGTTCTTCCTCAAATTTAAAGACTGAAAATGAAGCAGAAGGCTGGAGACTGGTCAGCTTACACAGTCTATATTTATTTAAGGGTCTGTTGACAGACAAAATTGTTATCATTATTATGAGACTGAGTCTCTGGCCCAGGCTGGCCTTGAACTCATTACGTAGCCAAGGATGACCATGACCTCCTGACTCTCCTGCCTCCACCTCCCAAGTGCTGGGATTACAAGTGTGTATTTCATATCCAGTTTATGCCATGCTAGGATCAAATCCAGGGCTTCATGCGTGCTGAGCAAGCACGCGGCCAGCTAAGCTACAGCCGCAGCTTTTAATGAAAGCGGGCGATTGCACTGCAAATCAGGCTCCTCAGAGTGCAGTTCTGGGTGGATGTTCTCCAGACTTTGCTAGAATGCAGGTGTGCACGCAGTGGGGCTGTGGGGCCCAAGGCTCTGCAGTCCCAGCCAGCAGAAGGTGTGGATACGGCAAGTCATGAAGACCTACTGTCACTGCTGCAGCTGCTGACAAATCAGTGACCATCCTCTGGACCTTTGGTCTCTAGGCTGGTACCTCCCCGTCCTGGCTGAGGTACCACTTGACAGTGGGACAGGCAGGGTAGGGGCCCTCCCAGAGACCTCCCTCCTCAGGCCACATTCTAACCCTAAGCATCTGCTTCTAGGCCCCTGCTGCTGAGGTCTCCACTCTACTCCTTTGAGAACCACAACAGAAAGCTGGAAAGATGGCTCGGTGGGGAAAAGCGCTAGCTATGTAAGCCTGATGGCCTGAGTTTGATTCCCAGAACCCACGTAAAGAGCTGGATGCAGCGGCCTAGCTAGTCTGGAGCAAGCTGTGCAGCAGCAGAAGTGGGAGACCTTGCCTCAGCAAGGGGAAGTGAGAGCCGACCCCCGAAAGGTGTCTGACCGCCACACGCTGTGGCACAGACACACAATTACTTAAAAAGAACAATAGAAAGGCCACAGATAGAGTTGCCAGGAAGGTACCCCAAAGAAACAGCTACTTAGGAACGAATTGCCTATGGACCCCACCAGGAGCCTGGGTGATGGAATTGTTACCTTCTTTTACCCTGAGCTTAATTACAGCAGTAAGTGCAGTGTCCTCACCAGCGACAGTTCTGAGGAGATGCGCTAGTGACAAACTGCTCTGGAAATGCTCAGAGGCAAAACACCTGCTGCTTGGACTTAGCAACGATAGGGCAAGACGTGTCTGTGGAGCAGAGGGTGAGACTGGGAAGTAGTGACCTCACAGCGACTGGAGGATGCCGACAGCGGGACTGGGAGACAGCTCTGTGGGCAAAGTAGGAACCTGAGCTCAGATCCCCGGCAGCCATGTGAAAAGCGGGGTATGGAGGCATGCTCCTGTAACCCCAGCGCCAGGGGAGGGGCAGGGACAGCCAGCCTAACCTAAATAACGAGCTCCAGGTTTGCTGAGAGACCATGTCTCACAACACAAGGCGAAGAGCAAAGGACATCAACCTCTGCCCTCCCCACGCGCACGGTGCGCACACTCGCATACACCACATAGACACACACACAAGAATACAGGGGGCAGTGAGTGTGGCTCGGTGGTAGGGCATCTGCCCAGCACGTGTGAGGCCCTAGGTTCCATCCCCAACATCCCTTCTCCACCAAAGAGTACACAGACAAAATCCTGTCATGACACGTCAGCAGCTCCCGGATCTTATCACCTCCCCCTTTCATGGCGTCTTCTGCCCGTTTGGCTGTAGCCGAGCAGCCTGTGCCATAGAGCCTGCGGAAGACACCATGGTGGACAGTCTGTTTTATCTACTTCCTTGGTCCTCAATAGGCCTAGGCAGAGGAACTCAGACATGGAGTTAAGTGAGAGAACTAAGGATAGAAATAGACAGGCCACTTCAGGTCTGTGTCCCAGTGCTCATAGGCCTAGATGAGCAGGAAAACACAGGGCTGGCGGGGCTGAGGGCCACTTCTTGGGACACCCCTGATGCTACCCTCCAGACTTTCCTGAAAAGCCCGAAGATACATGACATGTCGCTGCAGGGAGCAGGTGTCAGCTGGTCCCAGGTGAAGTCTAGGACTGGGTACCATTTAAAACCTGTCAGTGTGACTCTACACACAGCCTAGGATGGCCAAGAACCACTGTGAGTCCCTAGGGAGAGGCTAATCCTAGAACAGGAGGTGGGTTTCTAGAGACTGACAGTAGGCTAGTGTCCCACAGAACCCTCCCCTCCACCCCAGAACCCTCCCCTCCACCCCACAGAACCCTCCCCTCCACCCCAGAGGCCTCCCCTCCACCCCACAGAACCCTCCCCTCCACCCC